GTGGGGGGGAGGGGGAGGATGGCTTCTGATGTAAAAGGGAGAGACTCTGATATGAAACTGGGGCTTCTGATCTGAAAGGGTGGTGGCTTCAATATGAAAGAGTGGCCTCTGATACCGACGGGGAGGGGGCTCTGATACCGAGGGGGGGCTCTCTGATACTGAGGGGGGGCCTCTGATGTGAAGGAGGCTACTGATGCAAAGGGTGACCCTGATGTGAAATCTTTATTTGAAAGGGGCACGTAAATGTGAAGGGTGAAACCCACTTTTTTGGGTGTTTTTTTGTGTGGGGTCCCCCTTAAAATCTATGACATTTTAGACTGGGATGTCTCGAGATTTTGCAAACTTTTAAAGGTTGTCGTGACTAAGAAAAAGCTTGAGGAATGCTGGTCTGGACAAAGTCACTGATATTGTGACACGTCAGGAATGAGTTCACGCTGACTTGTAACACTGCGGAGCGGTCCACTTTAAATGCAGTCTGTGCGGTGGTCCAGGCTCCGTCTGCGCCGTGTGGCAGAGGTGCACGGATCACAAGATTAGCTACAAATCCTTTGGCAGATAAAACGGTTCCCCTGTCTGTATATTTGGCGGTTTGCTCGGAGTTCAGCTTTGCGCATAATATTTGGGCAGCTTTAATTCTCCTTTGTGCCTGCTCTCCCATGATAATGGCTATCTGGAGATAAGAGAGCAGCTTGTAAAACGCGTCTTGCTCCTATCAAGGCTGATTTTATATTGTTGACATGTTACAGACGCAGACTTTGTGCTTTCGCGGCGCCGGGCTGGTAATACGGCTGCATGTATTAGCAGTTTTATCCTACCGTGGAAATCGGAATAACTCCTGAAAATTGTTCCATTCAGTTAACAGAAGGGGTGCGCTGCTCGGCTCGCCAGAAGGCCAAAAATCACTCCGCGGAACAGAACTCCGACAGCGAAGCTGAAACCCGTCCGGCTGACAAGACTGCGGCGAAAGGCTGCACGGTGAGCGCTATTGTTTCATGGGGAGTTATGGGGCTGTTTTACCCTCCACTTTAAAGTGAACCTGTCACTCGGCTCGTTCAGGACAATGTAGCAGAATATTTCAAAGGGGAACTCTACCCGTATCTTCAAAATAACATCAAAGACGCCTTTCAAAATGTTTAGTAATGACAATCTACTAGGGCTGCACCGATACCGGTGTTTCGGTATCGAGTACCGATTATTTTTTTTCCCCGGTGCTTGCCGATACCGAGTACACTCGCCACTCGGCTTCCCGATTAGCAGGGAAGCCGTCCCCATCCTTCTCGCCACTAGGTGATGAGAAAGCATGGAGCCGGCTTTCTGGCCAATCAGGAAGCCGGGCGCCGTGTAATGACGTGGCGCCTGGCTTCCTGATTGGCCGGGAAGCCGGCTCCATGCTCCCTCGTCATGAGGTGACTATTACTACTAGTATCAGTGCCGACTCAGAGTATTTGGGCGAGTACTTGTGCTCCAATGCCTAGCCTGATACTTCTGGTATCAGAAAGCCGGGCAGCGAATCATTACATGTTGCCCCCTCGCCATGTAGCTTTCTGATTGGCCGGGAAGCCGGCTTCATGCTCCCTTGTCATCTCATGACGAGTGAGCATGGAGCCCGCTTCCGGCCAATCAGGAAGCCGGGCACCGTGTCATTACACGGCGCCCGGCTTCCTGATTGGCCATAAAGCCGGCTCCATGCTTTCTCGTCACCTAGTGGGGACGGCTTCCCTGCTAATCGGGAAGCTGGGTGGCGAGTCTTTACACGCCGCCTGGCTTCCTAAATGGGACTTCCGGTATCGGTATAAATATCGGCAAGTACAAAAAAAAAAAATACCGCTATCGGTGCATCCCTAGTTCTTAACCCTTGCAGTGGGGCTACTCCCGCACTCCAAGGGTTAAGTGCTAGTTTTTGTCTAGGTTAAAAAATAACAGTTATGCTCCCCCCGATCCTTAGGCCGGTCCCTGGAGCCTTGCTCCCCCTCCGTTGCAGTGGTCTAAGGTCATGGGAATCATCACTTTCTATACACTGGGGGGAATTCATCAAACTGGGGCAGCCAGAATCTGGAGCAGTTGCCCATGGCAACCAAATCAGCTTCTCTCTTCAGTTTGCTTAGTTGAGAGAAACTGATCTGCTCCCTCACTGTGTACACGAGGACGCTGAGGGACATACCATTGCTGCATCAGAGGAGAGTGAGGCTAAAGGGACTGGTTTAAGTGGAAGCCGGCTTGGTGGATCAGAGGAGTATAACTTTGAACCGAGACAAAAACAAGCACTTAACCCCTTCAGTGTGAAGGTAGCCCCACTTGCAGTGGTTTAGGAATAATTTTCCCCAGAGTTTGGCTTTAAACTCAGTTTTAGGTCTGTTTTATATCCCCTTTTAAAAATTGCATTCTCATGTTCATTTTCCAGGCGGACAGCAATGGGGCTCCTTCCAAAAACCGTACCAGTGACCAGAACAGGAGGCTAGCTGGCAAAAAAGCTTCCGGAGCCCAGAGTCGGTCTGCGTACGGTGGTCGGAGCAGGAGGTGCCCGAAGGTAAGAGTCAGCGCCCGCCTTAGCAGCCGCCAAATGTCCAACGGGAACGATTATGCTTCCTACCACCGATTGTCAGATGACAGTAGGGACAGTTTGGTGTTTGCAGACCTGGCGAATCCAGAAAAGAAAGGAGTCTGTGGAGACAACAACCCGTTCATCGATGAAGACAGTAACCAGCCCATGCCGCTGGGGAGATTCTTTGAAAATGCGGACCTCATGCAGGTGAGTGTTAACCCTTCAAGGGTCATCGGTTTGAGCCATGCATGTGACAGACCCCGACTGGGTACACGCGTCCAAAATCAGCTTCCTCCACTCTGGAACCGGAAAATCGTAGTTGCAGGCCAAATCTTCCCCTAACAACCAGGCAGGACTAGTCCATTAGGTTAAAAACTAGGGAAGTGCCGATACCTTTTTTTTTTCCGGTACTTGGCGGTACCGAAAGTCCCATTAAGGAAGCCAGGCAGCGTGTAAAGACTCACCCCCCCCCCCCCCCCCCCGCCGCCGCCACAATTAGGAAGCCGTCTCCATGCTCCCTCGTCACCAGGTGACCAGGGAGAATGAAGGCTTCCTGGCCAATGAGAAAGCAGGGGGGCAGTTAATGACTCGCGGTCCGGCATCCTGATTGGGAAGCTGGTCAATCAGAAAGCTAGGCAGCGAGTCATTACACGCTGCCTGGCGTTCTGATTGGCGAGGAAGCCGGCACCATGCTCCCTTGTCACTGGGCTAGGCATCAGAGCATTTGGGCGAGTGCGAGTACTCGCCCAAATACTTGGCATCGGCCCTGCTACTAGTATCAGTGTGTGTGTGTGCGCGCACACACACACACACACACCTCTCCTACCCCCAGCTACACAAGTATGTCGCACACTACAAGTCCCAGGAGAGGATTAGATGAAGTAAACAAACGGAGGACAAGGTCTTTTCACTTCAGGAGAACAATAGATTCCCTCCTGGCACCAGTCTGGAGTCCATCAATCAGGAGGTGATAAAACTAAGTGCGGGTTTATCACCTAAACCTAATTACAACAGAAAATACAAACAATAGCAGATGTCAGAAAACCAGGGACAGGGTTAACCTCTTCGGTGCTGCTGGATTCACACCGTGGACTTATAATGGGCACAGGGGGCTTGTACATAAGGGGTGACTGAGGAACCAAGGAAGGGTCTCCCAATACGAGTCCACAGTCTGGTCCAGCACAGGATACTGATGGATAGGGTAGCAGTCTCAGCTTCCCATGTATCCCCCACATAACTTGAAAATAGGTCTCTGGGGTCCTCCTGATCCATGGAGCGTAAGTAAAGGGTCCCGTACAGCCCAAAGCACCATGGCAAGCCCCTCTCCCAATCAATAGTACCCCCTCCACAGCCAAGGCCCATAGTCAGTGGGAAGGAGGCCGGCCTGCAGTCCCCTCCACATAACGGAGGCTTCTATCACAAGCACGTTTAATTTTTGTATGTTTATACTTTTTAAACAGTTTTATTCCCTTTTTTTTTTTTTTATAGTTCTATAAAATGTGTCTTGCAAATAAACATTGAATACATGATACCCCCCATGATACAGGTACCCTGAAGCATTATGGGTTTCTTAAAGTAGTATTAAGGTCTGGGCGTTTTTTACCTTAATGCATTCTCTGCATTAGGGTAAAAACGGCCTAGCACCTTTTTTCTACCCCAGTCGCCCCCCACACACACACACACACCTGTCAGCGACGCTCGTCCCCGCCGCCAGTCCAGAAGCGATCCTCCGTTCCCCGAACTTCCTGGTTGCAGGGGGAGGATACTGATGGCAGAGGAGCCATAGGCTCCTTCTGCCATCAATCAAAGAGGGAAGGGGTGGGGCCTGCCACAGGGCTGTGTGTGTCTATGTGCGCGCACAGGCACTGCGGGCACAAGCACCCACGGGTGCCTCCATTAGAACGGTGGTGGCACTCGTGTAGGGGGCGGGGGGGAAGAGCGCAGCGGGGACCCACTAGAAAACAAGGAATTAAAAACTTTTCAAGAAAAAAAGCAACAGCCTCCAGCAAAGAAGGGTCTCCTTAAAGGAGAAATTTAATATCACTTTAAAAGAGTCTCTGTTGCTTAATCCCTCCCACTGTGAGCTGCAGTGTCTAGGAAGGCGGACCATTTGAGACTTATGCATTACATGGTAACTGGATTTGGTACTTGTTTAGACCGTCCTGCCTTTTATTGTACTTTAAATACTTTAATATGAAGACTACACATTCTGTTTATGTTGCTGCTGTTTAGGACTTACCACCGGTGGCCACATCTTGCGCTTCCATGAGCAGAAGAGAATTAAGGAACCTTCACTTCAGAGCTAAAGAGGACGATGATGATGATGAAGAGGACCTGAATAATGAAGATGGCCTTTAGGTAAGAAGCCAATATATTTAAATTGGAATTGCCAGCAAATGTCTAAATACATATAGATACTGTTTCTCCTGCCAGAGTCTTTGTCATTCTGGTCAGCCAGTCTTGTGATGCGCACATCTCTGCCACACTGTGCAGCCAGGAAAAATCTAGCCGGGCAGCAAGTCATGACCTGCCTCCCGGATTCCGGATTGGTCAGGAAGCCAGGCTTCCTAGCCAATCAGGGAGGCGGGTCATGACATGTTGCCCGGCTTCCTGATTGGTTAGGAAGCCTGGCTGGTTAGCAGCACGTGAAGCCGGCTTCCTAGCCAATCAGGAAGCCGGGAGGCAGGTCATTACCCACCGCCCGGCTTCCTGATTGGAAAGGAAGCCGGCTCCATGCTCCCTGGACACTGCCGGTCAGAGGGCGATTTCCCTCCGACCGTAAGTTCTGGTATCAGAGCATTTGGGCGAGTATGAGTATCGGTGCATCCCTAGCAAAATCCTTCTTTTTTTCCCATTGTGTGGATAATTGATATAACTAATTAACTGGATTACAATGCTTTTTAATGATTTGGTTTTTTTTTTATTCAGGACTTTGCTACGTGCCTTCCGAGACACGGACCCTGGGTGGACCTTCTGTCATTGCCTTGTGACATGACCTACAAAACTGGTCAAAACCAAAGTGCTTTTCTATATTCCAAGGAGCCCCCTCTGCACTGGTTGGTTTTTTAGCAGTTCCGTTGTTTAGCATTGGGATCCTTGGAGCTGCAAAACATTCATGCTGCCACCACCTACGTAACCTTAACAGCTGTGATATTCCCTTCTGTGGGAGTGCCGTCATCTCCAAAGTTTCTGATGTCAGGCCTGGAGGAGAAACCCAGACACAGTGACATGTAATTTATATTAAATTGTTTTATATATATATATTGTTGTTCATGTGTATAACATTCTAGAAATTGTTGGGGTATTTTGAAAATGTTGGCCTGGGATTTGATGGGGAGATGGTCCCTAAGTTCTGCCAGGGCGGTCTGATCAGGTCGGGAAAGATTGGATTTATAAATATTGTGTGTATAATTCAAGTACAAGATCTGTTTGGATTGTTTGAAACTTGAGTTTTGTGATTAGGGGTTTCTCCAGGGAAGAGTTAAACCAGTGGTAGCCAAACTCCAGCTGTGGTGAGACTACAAATCCCATGATGCATCTCATTCCGGGAGTCATCTCTGTGGCTGTGAGATCTTGCAATGCCTCATGGGAGTTGTAGTGCCATCACAGCTGGAGGGCCAGAGTTTGGCTACCCGAGTTCAACCCTTTGCAGGTACTCGCAGAGAGGAGGACGTTCAGGCATCTCCAGCCCTAAACTCATTAACTTCCACAGGTAAGCTGAGCGCTGTGTGTGGTCCAAACCCTTATCGGAAAACAGTTGAGCTCAGGTGCGTTGTATGGAGTGGTGCTCCCTTAAGCTGGTCATACAGCTGCAGATGTTCTATGGTCAGATGGAAAAAGTGCAACAGATTCCTCCATCTACACTAAACTGTGTGGATGGAGGAATCTCCCACTGGGCCAAGCTTCAGGATCTTGCTAGTCGGCCCCGCTGGCTCTCTAAACACCTGAACAATGCCTGCATCCAATCAGATTGTTCAGGTATTTTGAGAGCCAGCGGCGCCGACTAGCAAGATACTGAAGCTTGGCACATTGGGAGATTCCTCCATCCACACAGTTTAGCGTAGATGGAGGAATCTGTTGCACTTTTTCCATCTGACCATATAAAGTCTGCAGATAATCTATAGGTGTATGGCCAGCTTTAGATTGAACTACAATCTGCCCAAATCAAGTGTTTTGGAAGTGATGTCTGAACTCTCAGGTCAGTACCTCAAAGCCACAGGATAAGCATGACTGGCAGGTAGTGATTTCGGGTTGGTATCATTCTGAGCTGGTCAGCAATGGCAGTCTACCTATTTCACTCATAAAGCTTACCTTTAATTGGTCTGTTGGGGGATTTCAAGTTTAATTAAAGCCAAAACTTTTTTTATGGTTTGAATGGGTTATAGGGACACATGAGGGGATCATGGAGGCTTCTATTGGGGAACTCTTTTGGGAATGCTACTCCCCTGGCTTTCATGTTTGAGTTGGGTAGCTGACCTGGAGCATGTATAGTAATAATGAGGTCTGAGACTCGTTTAAAGCATGCTGGTTCTGGGTCCGCCATTTAAAGTACTTAAAGTGACACTAAACACAGGAGTTAAATCTCAAAATACATTCAGGTACCTTTTTAACTATTAACAAAAATGTATCTTATTTGTGTATCACTCCGCTGTAGATCCTCAAATCATCTCTGAATTGGTGCCGACACTGTCCTTCTTTCTGGAGGGTGGCTACTTTTGTTCCCCATGGTCCCAGGCATCGGGTAATAGGAGTTCCATACCCCTGGAGCCAGTATCGGCAGTGCCGCCCCTCTACTCCCTGCCACCCCAAAGCCAGGCCTCGGTGGCCTTGTGGGAAATCTGGACCTGCACTCATCTGTAGATCCTCAAATCATCTCTGAATTCATACTGACACTTTCCTTCCTTCTGGAGGGGGGCTATGTTTGTTCCCCATGGTCCCTGTGTGTGTTGTAAAGTAGCCACCACTCCAAGCTCACTCCTGTGATGGACTACAATCTCATGTTTAGTTTACTAATTTGTATTGAGATTGTAGTCCATCCCGGGAGTGAGTTTGGAGCGGTGACTACTTTACAACACACACAGGGACCATGGGGAACAAAAGTAGCCCCCCTCCAGAAGGAAGGACAGTGTCAGCACCAATTCAGAGATGATTTGAGGATTTACAGCCGAGTGATACACAAAACATACATTTTTAAGATTTAACTCCTGAGTTTAGTGTCACATGGAAGCTGAACTCCAGCCTTCCTTCTAAACTTTACCTACACAAGTCTAGATCAAATGGTTGGCTTTGGATACATGTCCAGTCTCGGCTCGGCTCTCCGGTGTACTAAGAGCTGGAAATCAGAGGAGGGGAACTCTTTCCTGAAGAGCTTAAAAAAATGATTTGTCTGTAATTTTAGAGAACCATGCCAAAGCTATATTAAAAGAGAACTCCGGCCAAAATTCACTAATAAAAAGGCTGTTTAGCTGTGTCTGCGTTTTGTATTTGAAATGTTGAAGCAAACATTCTGTGCTGCAGCAGTTTTGTACCAGTGCATGTTGCATTTTTTTTTCCTCTCTATAGCTGTGTGTTAAGGTGTACAGAAATAATTATACTGACTGCAGTTTTGTAGACATTACTAATGTGAACTTCAGGCAAACCACATACGGGTGTGACTAGGGGTTAAGGGCTTGTTCACACCAAGCGTGTTCCAGGAGCAGAGCAGTTACAGACCGGATCAAAACTGCGCCCAATGTATTCCAATGGTATTTTGGGCTCTAGTTCACACCGCAGCGTTCAGTTCCAGAGCATGTAAAAAAACTGCAGCAAGCCCTATTTTACCTGCTCTGGAACACATGCAAATGCATCAAAAATGCATGCAAATGCCCTGGAACGCACTGAAAGCCCATTTTATACTAAAAAAATATATATATATATTTTTTTTTTAAACCAAAAACGGCCTGGGATGCATAAAAAAAGTGGTCTAATACACTGCGTGTGCAGAAACTCATGCAGATCTGGTCTGCATTTGGTGTGAACAAGCCCTGAAAGAGAACCAGTTACCAATGGGCATTTTGTAATCTGTATTAATCTGCAACCGTATCTGTCTGGGTTCATTGATTTTTATTTCTATTCTCTTGTTGTCAGCCTTTCAGTTTGTCTCCTCTCCTACCTCAGCTCAGTGGTGATTAAATACTTATTAAACTGTCCTAAAATAATAATAGTGCGGTCAGGATTACATAAAAGAAAGCTAATTGCCAGCTTTACCCACCTCTAGCAACTCAGACAGCATGTCTGGTATCAGCCCTGAGCAAAAGGTAGAATAGCCTCTGTGGTGGCCTTATAGCCTCGCTGAAATGCCTCCCAAAGAGTAAGCTTTTATGCCCTATGGGATCACATGTCAACAGGACGCTGGTTTTGATCTTCCTGCAAGCTGTTCCTTCTCCAGTACCTGATTTACCATGTCTTGTTCTGTACCGTGTCTGTGTGGAGGTGGCCATGTTGGTTAAGGCAGGGCACATCGGCAACATTGATGTGAAAGGAGGAACTCTGATCAGAAGTTTATTGCATACTTTTAAAGGGGGGTGGGGGGTTCAGAAACACTGACGTAGACAGCAATAGTAGTGTGATAGCGGTTCTAAATCTTTTTCACGCTTTCAAAAAATTGGCTTGCAGGTTGTGATTATACTAAAAGGGAAGGAAAAGGAAATTTCCACGCGGGGTACATAGACAGCGATTAAAAACAGGTCCTATTCCTCACTCGACCTAAAACATATTAGGCCTGCAGTTTGTTTAAAGAGAAGCGGTCACTTTTCCTATTCCGGGCAAAGTGATGGTGCCTCCTGATAGGCCATCCTGACCCCCCAACAAGGTGTACTCGCCTTTTGCTCTCCATGGCTTCCAGCTCTAGAGGGAAAATATGACCTTCTCCATGTAAAGGTGCTCAGGCTTGTGCATAGTCACCAGACCAAGACAGTAACCGCAACCACCCAGGAGGGTGGACTCCTGCAGCAGGGAGGTAGTAAGGAAGCATGGATCAGTGAGTATACTGTATTGGATGGGGATGGGGTACCTTCAGCAGGCACTGAATGGGCAGATGACAGTATCTCTTTACAGCCAGCCCTATGTCATTGCTATGTTATCTGATCATAGTACAGCAAGGGCACAGAGAAAAAGCCTCTGCATCTTCTGTATTGTGCCACAAACATTTTCATCTTTTAAAATGAATAAATCCATATGTGACTTGTATAGAAAAGCTAAACCTAGATGTTTGAAATGAGATGGATTTTGTCTGACTGCAGCATGCTGTTAAACAATGGAATAGAAGTGTCTGTATGGTTTGTTTTTTCCCCCCATCGCGCTACAGAGCTTTGTTGTACATATTACAAAAGGGAGTGAAGAACAATTCCAGGGAACAAATACAACGATCAGTGAATTGACAATACTGTTCAGAAGTAAAAGAACAATCCATATGCAGAACAAGCAGCTCATATAATCAGAATATATTGCTGCCCCCAAGTGCGCCGACATTAAACTAAACAAAGCATTGCCACACATTAAGATTAAAAGGTATTGTACAGAAATGTCTCCTGCACTCCTTACAGCATCTGGAACCAATAGTCAATATGGTACTCGCAGTGATAAGCACGGATGGCGCCATTTCGTCTTCAAGGTAATGGCGGACCACCAGCACTCAGAGTCACCATGTCGCCCTCATGAAGGGACCCTGCATGGTGCTTTTGACGCATGTGACGCTGTGCTTCAATAAATGAATGTCAAGATTTAAACGATATTTTCTGAGTGCTGGTGAGCCTTCATTTCCTAGATTAAGACTAGGTTCACACCTAGACGACCCCTCACCCTGCGGTTTTGTGCACGATTGCCGCACGGTCGGGAGTCGCCAAGGTGTGAACCGATCGCGCTGTGGCTGCCATTATTTTCTAATGACACCCCAGTCATGCCGAGCGGATCGTGCGCTTTCCTGCCGCAATTTTGCTGTGCATATGAACACGATCGCAGCTAAAAAAAAAAAAAAAAAAAGCGTGTTGGGTGTCACACAATAAAAGGTACTTGTACTTTTTTTTTTTTTGCGATTGCCGCGCGAATGTAACCCGATTGAAATCAATGGGGCCCGCGCGGCAAACGCTATGTGCGCTAGCACAGGAGCCCTGCCCCCCCCTCCCGGGTGTCGTGCAGGGGTGAACCTAGCCTAAAAGGAAATTGCAATCCAGAAATAAAGAATAGCACTTTAAAAGAAAAAAAGCTTGTAATCCAATTCGCTGTACTACTTCCCCCACCCTTCCCGATTAGATGTCCTTCATCTTCCAGGTTCAACTACAGTCAGCATCATTCAACCCACTTCCTCCGAGCCCATGCCATTACAAACCTGTCCCCCTCCTGTGACTGGACAGTGAAGAAGAAGCAGCACAATGATAAACTCCTCTCTCTGCTCTTTTCTCCTATCCTATGATTCTTGCCAGCACAAGAACGGATTGGCTCCTTCCTCAAATCTTGCTGCGCAGGGACTGCAAAAGGCAGATACCAAGCCACATTCAGGTGCTTGCATTTAATGATGTATTAATATTTACAGAGCTGCATTCATTTCTGTCTTTCATATCTGCCTGGAGTTCAGCATTGCGTTTTGCACTAAATATGCATATGAATAAATAAATAATAGGAGTTTATATAAGTTGGAAATATACAAAAACGGCATTTTTATTTGAAATAAATATTTCATACAAAGAAAGCAATCAGTGCGTGGTTGATTTCCTCGCTATCAAATGAAAAATACATCTTTTGTTGTAAAATCTGTCAGTAGTAATGTCTAGATAGCTGCCTTGATTTAAAAAAAAAAAAAACCATATAAAAAAATGTAAATAGAATCCCACCCTAATACCATCATGATAACTGGCGCTGAGATCTCTTTTTATGTCTGGGTCTTTTCTGAGTAGTATAGATCTTGGATTGATCACAGCTCAAGCTGTGCGAGGTTTTCTTATGGCAGGCAATGTGGACCAGCTTAAGGTTCTTTGTGGTAAACAAAAGGTCAAAAAAATACGGGTGGTTGACCCGTCTTCCCCGACTTTCCTTCACGGCTTCCAGTAAGCAAGGTAAGATTGCTCGGCTCTTCTCAATCCTAAAGAGTTTATAAATAAATCAAAAAGTTTAGTGTTATGAGAGTTGCAAACATTTTTTAAAATCTGCTTTCTGCGTGTGGCATGAAAAATGCATCCACGTTAAATTAAAGGAGAACTATGGGGTCAGGGCTTTTCCCCATAGTTCTAAGGGTAACGGGAGGACACAAACTAGCGTCCTCCCGTCACCCAAAGCTCAGTATACTGCGAGCTACAGCTCATGCTATACTGAGACCGCCGCAGCCGGGACGGATCCCGACATTACTGTCTGGATCCACCCAGCTACGTGAGTGACAGCTGGCTCTGCCTATCTAGAGGCAGCTTTACCCTCCCCCGTCCGTTACGCCAGTCAGCGCTGTAGGGGGGAATCCCTGCAGGGAGCCGTGAGTGACAGTCACCGCTCTCTGCAGGGACAGGATCGAGAAGTGAGCGATCGACGGTATGCGCTTGCTCACTTCTCGATCTATTGATCCGACCTGTGACAGTTTCATTGTCACACGTCGGCTCTAACTATGAGGAGTGTAAATCACACACCTCATAGTTCTCCTTTAAATCCAATTTCCCCTCCTCACCCCATTCACAATTCAAAGTTGCCTTCAGACCAGGAACTTTGTCTTGTTGTTTGCATGCTTGACAAGATTTTGTAGAGGATGCTAGGCTTTCTAATAAAGCCCAGCACTGCCTGTTCATTTGTTGACTGCTTCTGTCATAGGTCGGCTAGAACTATGAGGCTGAGTGAAAACAAACACTACAGACACATGGCTTTACCTGTGGTCCAGGTTCCAGGTGCTGAAAAGAATTCTACTTTCTCTGTTACTGTATGGGTTGATAGAATGCCGGTAGGTGCAGTCCTTCACATCAAAAGCACCCTAAAAAATGGCAAAGGTAACACAGTCATAAGCATGTCATGGCAGAGGACAATGTTATGTTCTGAGGCAGCAGATGAGGTCAGATCACCCCCTGCTGAGGATTGTGCTTAAAACTGAAGTTGCAGTCAGTAATAGTACAGATATCCATAGATCCTGTACCACTCCTTATAGGAAATCCTAAGACAATGATTGGTGCTTGAAATGACCGCGGATGGCGCCGCACATGGAACAACTTCAAATACAGATGTCACCAGCACGCCGAGACTCTCAAGTCAGTGCTAATCCATTTAATGAAATAATGCCACTCAGAAAATCAAGCGCTTTCGGGCCACACAGGGTCCCTTTCATCAGGCTCAGAGTAGACACTACAGGCTCAGTGTCTTCTCTGAGCCTGATGAAGGGGACCCTGTGTGGCCCCGAAAGCGCTTGATTTTCTGAGTGACATTTCATTAAATGGATTTGCAGTGACATGAGAGTTTCGGCGTGCTGGTGACATCTGTATTTGTAGTGAGTAATAGATCACAATCTCAGCAAGCTACTGTAGGTTTCTTGCACCGGGGCCCTGAGGTTTCTAGTCAAAACTGAAAAAGGAAGTGGTGGCTGCAAATGGACCAAAAGACCAGGAATCACTAATGTGCATATTATTCAACTTAACAGCAAGAAAAAAAAACATTAAATGTATTTTTTTTTTTTAAATTGAGCTGTTAAAGTAGAACCATTGCACCCAAACTCTATCCCAAATAAAGTTTAGAGTTTTGGCTGGAGCAAGACATGAGTTAGGTTAAATCGGTCACACAAATATGTATATTAAAATAAAACAATGGTCTTCCACTCTTCCAAAACCTATCCCAAAAATAGTTCTGACTCAAGACATGAGTTACGTTCAACCAGTCACATGTGCAGTGGCGCCAAGCGGGGGGTGTGGCCCGCAACCGGGTGACACCATTGAAGGGGTGACATTTTGGTGTCACCCCCTCAGAAAAGTCGGCCACTCAGTCATGGACCGAGAGCCCGACAGATTCAGGAGAGAGGAGGGGACCCAGCAGGTAAACGTCCCCTCCTCTCTGTCGGCGCCCATCACCAAGATGGCCGCCAGCAGGTATTAATAAGATGGCCATGCATGTGCGATTACGTCACGAAGGGGTGTCACCCAGTATCCGCTCCGGGTGACACCCGGCCTCGGACGCCCCTGCACATGTGTAAATGAAAGTAGGACTATGGGGTCCTATTTTTTTTAAAAAAGTGCATGCTTCTGTCCAATAGAGCACATGATCATGCACGCCAAGTGACACTAAACTCAGGAGTTAAATCTTACAAATCCATTCAAGTACCTTCACTATTAACAGAACTGTATCTTATTTGTGTATCACTCGGCTGTAGATCCTCCAATCATCTCTGAATTGGTGCTGACACTGTCCTTCCTTCTGGAGGGGGGCTACTTTTGTTCCTCATGGTCCCTGTGTGTGTTGTAAAGTAGCCACCTCTCCAAGCTCGCTCCTGTGATGGATTACAATCTCACTACAAATTAGTATACTAAACATGAGATTGTAGTCCATCCCGGGAGCAAGCTTGGAGCGATGACTACTTTACAACACACACAGGCGCAATGGGGAACAAAAGTAGCCCCCATAGTTCTCCTTAGGGTAACGGGAGGACACAAACCAGCGTCCTCCCGTCACCCTAGGCTCAGTAGCTGTAGCTCGCGGTATACTGAGACGGCAGAGCCAGCTGTACCCGCCCCCTCCCCGTCCGATCCGCCAGCCAGCGATGGTGGATCGGAGCGGGCAGGGGGGAATCCAGCCCCTCCCCTGTCACGGCAGAGAGCAGTGACAGGATCGAGAGGTGAGCGAACGCCGGTATATCTTCGCTCACCTCCCGATCTACTGAGCCGACCTGTGACAGTCTCATTGTCACAGGTCGGCTAGAACTATGAGGTGAGTGAAAAGCACTCACCTCATAGTTCTCCTTAAGAGTTCACCGGCTCTGATGATGCAGTCTGACTGCCTTTTTCAACTCTACTAGTTCCCGGCCCAGCTTGTTGCTGGTACTTCAATCCTGTGTGGCCAGCCCCGAAGTCTTCTGCATGTGATTGGGCTCTTGATCACAGTTTTGGCCCTGACACTCTGATGGTTCTGACTTTTTATCTCCTGACTTGTAGCTCGTCTCGGAGTATTCTCCTCCATTAGAGGAATTGACACAACATGGATTTCCATGGCAGGATCAACAGATTTAAAAAAAAAAAAAAAAATCGCAACTTAATAAATGACCTTAACAAGTTAAAACTTGTGTGATTGGGTTTAAATCTACTTTAACTAGTCTACAGCAAAATGAAGTTATTTACTCTGGCAGGGGTACCTGATTAACAAAACTGAATTACATATTGCAAGATTTTTTTTTGATGCGGTTGCAGTTGAACGTTCAAGTGGATCTCTCGGGAAATACAGGAGCCGCCATTGCTGATGTGTGTTTAAAAGGCAGAAGTTGCATGGAGGTCATCGTGAACCTGGCTGCTCTACCCACTGAGTCGCTGACCTTGAACGAGCATGCTGGACGAGAGTTGAGACTTTTCATACTCAACTGTCTTCTCACTTGTTCCAGGTCAGTGCCTCATAATTTGAAAGCCGTGCAAGTCCTTCAAATACTTTAGCAAACATTGATCTAAGCACTGTAAAGTATCTTTCACGCATGATAACACTCTTGTTGTGTCTGCGCCATAAAAGATACTTTGAATTTTTTTTGTTATTATGCTCTCGTTGTAGACTCCGGCAAATGCCGCACATTGTCAGAGATCAGTTGCAACATTGACTGACCTTGGTTTATAAAAAGCTGAAAATTAAACTGTCATTTCATTGGAGCAAAGAGAATTAACGGAGCGTTAAAAACATTGTTAGAGGCTGATGTGCACCATCGACCGGCACTTTGACGTTAATGTGGCAGCTTATAGTATGGAAGGATTTTCTGCTGAAGGCAGGTCTCCGAGTTACTGCTTTCTGTCTTACTTTTTCACATGAATCGCTTTATTTTCCTCACTTTATGTTTACTGTCGGGCAATCTTTTTACAGGGAACTGATTTTTATTTAAAAAAAGAGAACTATGGGGTAACCTTTTTATTCCATATTTCGCTTTAGGGCCACGGGAGGACATATACTAACTTCCTCTGGTGACCCAAAGCTCAGTATATAGCGGGCTATTGCCCGCTATATACTGAGAACGCCGCAGCCGGGACGGATCCCAACAATACTGTCGAGATCAACCCAGCTGGCTGATTGACAACTGGCTCTGCCTATCTAGAGGCAGAGCCAGTTGTGCCCACCCTCTCCCCATCCGTCCACCGGGAAGTACTGAAGGATCGGAGGGGGGAATCCCTGTGGGGTGCAGTGACTGTCACCGCTCTCTGCAGGGACAGGATCGAGAAGTGAGCGAGCGACAGTATGTGTTCACTCACTTCCCGATCTATAGAGCCGACCTGTGAAAGTTTAATTGTCACACCTCGGCTCTAACTATGAGGAGGAGTGTAAATCACACAGCTCATAGGTAGTTCTCCTTTAAATCCAATTTCCCCTCCTCACCCCATTCACAATTCAAAGTTGCCTTCAGACCAGGAACTTTGTCTTGTTGTTTGCATGCTTGACAAGATTTTGTAGAGGATGCTAGGCTTTCTAATAAAGCCCAGCACTGCCTGTTCATTTGTTGACTGCTTCTGTCAAAGTAAATACATAGGAGTCTGGATGAGCAAGGAGAGGAGGTGTTTTCATCTATGGACTCTTGTAGCTGTATGTTTGAGTGAATGAAGCTGAATAGCAGGAGACCAGGTTGCACAGGGTATTCGGAGCATAGAAGTAAAACCAGTTTGGTCAGGAGCTTCAGATCCAGCTCACAGGCAGCATGCTAGAGGCTTCAATTTGTAATATGTCACATTTACCTGATTAAAAAGAAATGACTACATTTTTAGTCCTAGACATAAACAACATTATTACAAAAAATAATATAATTCCTTGTCACAAAAAGACAATGCGAGTATGTGGCGGTTTCATAGCAGTATAGCCGACATGTCTTACTTGACAAGAGAACCATCCTTCTTCAGTACAAAGACGATTGGCCTTGTGTTCCATCCTGTTGAAGTAACATCCATTGTACTTGGCAGCTTTCAGCTCTTTGCTCAGAGCCTCTATGAGGTTGTTGTATTCCTCCTTCGCTGCTGGATCCACAGAGGCTGCCGAATTCTGCACCTATAGAAGGGAGGAGGGAGGGCAAGAAAGTCTGATGTTTGCTAGCGCTCTGTTGCTCTGGCTTCTCATCAGCCTGGGAATTGTTCCTTCTTAATAAATATACAGCGACTCTGAACAAAGAAGTAAAACAGATCTCCAGGCAAACATGAACATTTTGCATTGATGTTCACTCGCGGACAAAGTACACCTGCTGGGTGTCTCCAATTATAATGCTGGCATCCACTGTGTGCAGCTGGCTGCGGTTTGCTTAATACCTATGGCTAAAGGGATTATTATCCTGTATCTGAGCCCGCTAAAAAATAAGTCAGTGTGGTTCCTGATACTTGGAAAGAGAGAGGCAGCACAGCACAGTTGTTGGAGAATGTACCCCATACACAACAGTTTCTGCCACCAGTGCTGGTAGTTTTTGACAGGGGACTTTTTAGCAAGAAAATCCTATAGGTGTCCTTAACACATTAAAGTGACACTCAGGGGTTACATCTTAAAAATGCCTTTCAGTACCCCAACTATTGACAACAATGTATCCTATTTGTGTATCACTCGGCTGTAGATCCTCAAATCATCTCTGAATCGGTGCTGACACTGTCCTACCTTCTGGAGGGGGGCAACTTTTGTTCCCCATGGTCCCAGTGTGTGTTGTAAAGTAGTCACCGCTCCAAGCTCGCTCCCGGGATGGTCTACAATCTCGGTACAAATGAGTAAACTAAACATGAGATTCTAGTCCATCACAGGAGTGAGCTTGGAGTGGTGACTACTTTACAACACACATAGGCGAGTATATCTTTTTATTTTATTTTAGACCCTAGACCAAAACAAGCTTTGCAGAACGGGGAATATGAAATATTTGTATAAAATATTTCACATTTACCATGTTTAAAAGAAAACAATCTTTTATGATTTATCTTTAGCTTGGATCACAACCGTTTAAAACGTGGCACTGAACTGTTTTGTTGATGCAATCTTTTAATACGATGAGCTTACTTTACCTCTTTCATGTAACCTCGAATTCTGCTCTCACATCGGAACCTCATGTAGCTGGACTTGTTCTTAAACCGAGATTCTATACCTGTGAATTATACAAACAGAAAAAAAAGTAACAATAATATATATATTTAATTTATTAACCTCTATTTGTGGGAGGGGATTATGGCTATTTAAACTCCTCCTCTTCCCTTTCCTGCCTGATGTTGTAGGGGAAGCGTTTGTTCCCACCCACGCCTCTTCATAACTTTAAATTCCATCACCTTTTCATTTGGTATGCCCACTTTTAGGCGTACCTAACAGCCTGGCCACGGGCACACCTCAGGTCACATTAGCTTATTGGCACAACTCAGCCCACACTATATTATAAGGCATATATGCCGACCATAAATATATATTAATATATTTATTGTAGCCGAGCATCCCAGAGGGAGCCTGGGAAAGTCCTGTTCGGGATTTATAGGTATCCCAGGTTTATCTGCTATACATTTAGGGATTGCTGATTCGGGCTCCAGTGCAGGGTTTACTCCACTCTCCACTGGCAATTTAATCTCACCTGGAACCTGTACTCAGAGCTCTCTACCTGGGGATCAGACAAGTCCTGTCTGAGAGAGCTGCAAGGTTGGTGAAAACTTGCAAACAGTTTATGTGGAGGCTGACATGCGGTAGGCCTGCTCAGCCTATTAGTTAGAAGCTATATCTTTTGTTTGTGAAGTTAGTGCCGGGATACGGCTAGGTTTTATGTTGTTGATTTCTGGTGAACCCCTGTGCAGCACCTGTTACCAAATGAGACTCTTGTAAATTTCACCAATAAACACTGCACTGTTTGCCACTACTCCCTTGGATTTGGTATCTCTACCCAAGAGACTGCTTATTCCCAGGGGGCTTATGTACCAGCTACCAATCGCCTGCTATAAATAAATAACATATCTTTCTTTTCTATATTATAGGCAGTTTTGAGGAAATAGTTTTGGCTTCTCTACAACTTTCGTTACATTACAATGAAAGAAAAGAAGACAAACTTTTTATGTACTCAAACAGAAGCCTGTAATGGCCGTGTTATTAATCAAATTAATGATTGTATACAATAATAGTGAAGGAAGGTCATAGGGGAGGTCCTTCATGAACCCATCAAGAGGCCATATTCCTTGGTCAATATAAATTTCGACTAGTAGAACCATATTGAGGAAAACCTTTCTACAGACCCCTTGAGAACACTAGTAAGGTCTTCCATGTGTTTAAAGGAGAACTATGAGGCGAGTGCTTTTCACTCACCTCGTAGTTCTAGCCGACCTGTGACAATGAGACTGTCACAGGTCGGCTCAGTAGATCGGGAGGTGAGCGAACACATACCGGCGTTCGCTCACCTCTCGATCCTGTCACGGCTCTCTGCCGTGACAGGGGAGGGGCTGGATTCCCCCCTCCCCGCTCCGATCCTCCAGCGCTGACTGGCGGAACGGACGGGGGAGGGGGCGGGTACAGCTGGCTCTGCCTCTAGATAGGCAGAGCCAGCTGTCACTCACGCAGCTGGGCGGATCCCGTCATCTAAGTCGGGATCCGCTCCGGCTGCGGCGTCTCAGTATACCGCGAGCTGTAGCTTGCGGTATACTGAGCTTAGGGTAACGGGAGGACGCTAGTTTGTGTCCTCCCGTTACCCTAAGGAGAACTATGGGGAAAAACACTGACCCCATAGTTCTCCTTTTAATATCAAAAATTTTTGTGATCCACTGCTGAACATGCGGGGAGGGGGGGTGATGTTTGTTTACATAAGGAGGAAATACAAGCTTGAACTGCATTCACCAGATGGATGAGGATGGAGCATGTGCATATCTTTAGAGAGCGGTGGTTATGATGTAGTAGAAAAAAAAAAAAAACGGGATCCAGTGGGATGGGTTGATCTGTGAATTTTTTGCCTTCAATTTTTCAGCGAGGGTCAGGACCAAAATTAATGGGTTGTTTCTAAAGCTGGCCACACACCTATAGATGACCTGCAGATGTTCTATGGTCAGATGGAAAAAGTGCAAGATTCCTCCATCTACTCTAAACTATGTGGATGGAGGAATCTCCCACTGGGCCAAGCTTCAGTATCTTGCTAGTCGGTCCCACTGGCTCTCAAAACACCTGAACAATGCCGGCATCCAATCAGATTGTTCAGGTATTTTGACAGCAGGCGGGGTCGACTAGCAAGATACTGAAGCTTGGCCCAGCGGGAGATTCCCCCATCCACACAGTTTAGAGTAGATGGGAGGAATCTGCTGCACTTTTTCCACCTGTCCATAGAAAATCTGAAGTCAATCTATAGGTGTATGGCCAGCTTAAGAACTGGAGTTACTTCTAAACCACCAAACTAGCATGAAACCTGTCCTAAAGATGTGTATCTGATTGGTGGATATGGGGAAATGACTCCAACTCTTAGTAAGAGCACATTAATACACAAGGCCCTTTGTGTCTCATGTATCACCGTGTTCTTTAAAGTGACATTAAACCCTCAGATTTTTTAACATAAACCAGTACTGTAATCTGTGCCTTACTGTAATCCATGGTAGTTTCCCTTCTCTTTGCTGCTCTTCCTTTTAAATCCTTATCTCTTCTCATGCTTGGGGAGAACTTCCCTTTGCAGCTGAGTGCCTCTTCCTGTAGTGCTGGCTCAGGTTGCAAACCTTCACACAGACACCATGTATCCATTCCAGAGACAAGGCAGTCTGCTGCAAAACAGAAGTTCTGCCCAGCATGAGAACAGATACAGATTTAAAAGGAAGAGCAGCAAAGAGAAGGGAAACTACCATGGATTACTGTAAGGCACACATTACAGTATTGTTTTATGTTAATAAATCTGAGGGTTTAATGTCACTTTAAGAATTGGAATTATTTCCTCACATGCATTACGAGTCTCTTTTTTTTTATTCAATACTACAAAACTTTACTGTACAGTCCTTTACAACAGGCACTAACTAACCTTCAAACCATGGCTCATCTTCCTCGCGATTTTCTGCCGAGATGTTTTCATCCAGGTTATGAACGAAGTCAATAAGTATCTTCTGTGTCTTGGGAGCCTGTTCATCAGATAGAAGCCTCCTGGCAGCTTCGGGGACATCGGTCAGACTTGTGTAAAAGGAATTCAGCAACCAATCGATGCCTGTGACAATTTTTTTGGAAAAGAAAAACAAATTTGTAAGTGCAGTCAGAACCAGATTTGCCTTCGGGGGTCAGTTCTGGGGCCTGCAAACATCTTAGGGTCCAAGAAAAAAAAATTGTAAAAATAAGAACTAAACAGTCAAAATATAATAAAGTTAATAAAGTCCAACTTACTTAATACCACAGGCAGGATCACTACCCTTACACCAACTCAGCCCTGTTGGTGCTACGTTCCTAATTTAGCTCCCTCGGTTTGAGATACCTGACCTCCAAAGGTCACCCAATGTATGCATAGAGCAAGATATAGCCCAAATGGCACATTTAGTGACCTAATGATGGTAAAGTAGATCTTAAACCGGGCTGCTTGACATTTAAATGTTCCTCAATTTTTCGCAGATCAGTGCTACTGATCTCCTTAGCCTCTTCCAGTCTACATGCACTATCTGGACCGGCTTCCTAAGACTGACGATGGTGGATTTTGACTCGGCAATATTATGTGTCAGCATGGCTACTTATAATCCCCACCAGGGGAGCATGGGACAGGTTGCAAATGCAGGAGTACAATTGGGAGACAGTTGTCACCCCGCACCAGGAAGTGCCTGAAGAAGGAACCTCATGGCAGGATCACCAACGTTTTTAATTAGGGCCACAGATTATCAGAATGGCCTTGCAGATCATTTTATCTCACTGTAAGTGTTTGAGTGAACACAAAGGATTCCTTGCAGCCATGTTGTCTCTGCCGTGCCTTTAGGTCACCTGAGAAAACTCAAGAGAAAAGCTGGTCATGCGCTTGCTCTACCATCACCACGTGGCTCAAAAAAATAGAGTATTCAATAAACGTTTTTTGAAGGAGCCAGGTGGAAAGTTGTCAGTGATCAGCGACTGCAGCCAATCAGCTGAAATGTCTGTTTGGGTATTCCGGCAGTGGCGGGCGCCAACTATCAGAGTACCACAGCTGGCAGGGGACATTTCGCCGTCCATGCTGTTTAGCCTAGATGGAGGTATCGCTTAGATTTCTTACATTCAGTCCTCAGACTGAACAAAAGAAATGTACAGATGAATGGCCAGATTATGCTGGCAAGTGTCCTACTACCGATTCCAGATTTTATTTAGGTTTGCCTAAAAGGGGATTTTCTTCCCTCTTGAACCATTGTGGGCCAACTGGTTGGGCCACACTGTGGACATTACCATTTGCAAAAATCACACACACACACACACACACACCTTTAAAAGGAGAACTATTGGGAGACTAAAATGTACTCTTCCCAATACTTCAAACCAGCGTGTGACACTGCAGCTGTTGCATATTGGCTCTATAGGTCGAGAGCTGAGCGATCACAAACAGCTGATCTTCTCCCTGCAGAGAGTGGTGACTGTCAGTCACCGTTCCCCACAGGGAATTCCCCCTTCCCCTCTCAATTCCTCCAGTGCTCATTGGAGGGACAGCAGGGGGAGGGGGTGGGCACAGCTGGCTCAGGCTCTAGAGAGGCAGAGCCAGCTGTCAATCAGGGGTGGACAAAATTGTACTGTCAGCATATAGCGAGCAGCAGCCTGCTATTTGCTGATTTTGGGTCACGGACAACATTAGTAAATATACTCCTGTCACCCAAAAGAGCACTAAAGCCAGAAAAAAAAAAAAAAAAAGGTTTGGCTTTAGTTCTTTTACCACAAGGAGAAGTATCTTTATCTGTCTTCTAATTGTATTGGTCTCAGCAGAAAATAACTGTCATTTTTTGGAAATAAGTATTCTTATCATGGGGTGCTACCTTTGTGAATTGACCCTACAGTATGGTAACCTCTGGGACAAAGCTGAATTTATCCTTCACTGATCTTATTTAAAGGAGAACTATGGGGTCAGGGCTTTTCTCCATAGTTCTCCTAAGGGTAGCGGGAGGACACAAACTAGTGTCCTCCCGTCACCCTAGGCTCAGTATACCGCGAGCTGCTGCTTGCGGTATACTGAGACGCCGCAGCCGAAACGTATCCCGACAATTATGTCTGGATCCGCCCAGCTGCGCGTGTGACAGCTGGCTCTGCCTATCTAGAGGCAGAGCCAGCTGTACCCGCCCCTCCCCCGTCCGATCCGCCAGTCAGCGCTGGAGGATCGGAGCGGGGAGGGGGGAATCCAGTTCCTCCCCTGTCACAGCTCTCTGCCGTGACAGGATCGGGAGGTGAGCGAACGCCGGTATGTGTTCGCTCACTTCCCGATCTACTGAGCCGACCTGTGACAGTCTCATTGTTACAGGTCGGCTAGAACTATGAGGCAACTATGCAGGTGCTGTGACTTGCACTGACTGTGACCTGCATGTGCTGTGACCCATTGCTCATTATGTTCTTGAAGCCTCAGGTTTCGCGGTGCAATCTCTGGGAGGCAAATGACCCATTGTGACCCGATTGAACAAGGTACTGTGAGTGAAAAGCAGAACAGACATAACTTACTTCCACGCCATGTCTGACCAGTAGTCAGTAACATAAGTTCAGTGTTATCTGAGAGATGCCACAGATACTCATCGTCGCTCACTTCCGTACCGTCTTCATACAGACAGACTCGGGTGCTGCTAGGTGGCAGCTGCAAGCAGAAGAGAATGCACAGGTTACATTTTATACTGGTACAAAAATGGTGCGACAATCATGTGTCACAAAGCTGGCCTAAATACAAGAGTCATTACTTGTATCTTGGTGAGCTTTAAGCAGTTCCTCCAGGTCTGTGCAGTAATCTAGTGTGACACTTGGAGCTTCCTGTAAAAAAGGCCGCTCACTGCTACTCTCTCTCCTTGTACAGGGTGAATGGTCTTGTCTCCGCCCCCTCCTGTAATAAAGACCGCTCACTGCTACTCTCTCTCCTTGTACAGGGTGACTGGTCTTGTCTCCGCCCCCTCCTGTAATAAAGACCGCTCACTGCTGCTCTCTCTCCTTGTGCAGGGTGACTGGTCTCGTATCCGCCCCCTCCTGTAGTTTTCTGTAGTTGGGGCCTGCTGGGTCCCTCCCACAGCTCTGCTGTCTGTATAGACTATATGCAGCACTGTTACTTTTACAGGGTAATATCTAATTTTTAAAAGTACACAACGTGGATTTATATCCTTCATGGCTATAAAGAGAATGATTTCATGTGTCAATTGTGTTCAGTGAGGTTCAACTACACTTCTAATCCCTGTGTAAGCTGTGTGTTGGAGCTTACAAAGGGCTTGTGACCTTCCCCCACATGACAGCATTTGCAGTGGGGTCACAAGGCCCGCAGTGGGTGACACCAAAATGACTGACAGTCATTTTGGTGTCACCTCCTCTTAAAAGTCAGGCACTCAGTAATGGACCAAGATTCCGACAGCAGCATGAGAGAGGGGG